CCCGGGGCCCTGCAATGCCAGAAGCAGCAGGTGGGCAGTCATGCTGCTCATCCTCGGCTGCTTGTGACTGATGAGAACCCCAGTTTCCTGGCCACCAACCACAGGCAGTACTCGAGGGGTGCGTGAGGTCCGATCTGAGTACAAACTGGCTGAGCTGTGTGTGGCTCGGGGTGATGGGCCTGTCCCAGAGGCTGCACCAGCCTGCGCCGCCCAGGGCTTCCCAGGCCTCGCCTACACTGCCCGTAGGAATTTTAATGCCTGCAGCTTACAAACTCATTAGGAAAGTGATCCTTGATTGAATTGGTAAAGTTGAATGGGAAAATGAAATACCAGATCTTTCGGGGTGGGGGTGGGGGTGTGACAGGAGAATTAGACATGGCATCCGGAGAAGGAACACGGGCCCAAACAACCTCCCCGCTCCCTGCCGGCCCCTAGCCAGGATCTCTCAACTGGCCTCCACTGCCTGTGGCTCTGGCACCTCTGGTTCCTGGGTCAGAGTGAAAGGACACGAGTAGGACTGACATCATTCACCACTGCTACATAAGCCAGACACGGAAAACGAGCGGGCATGGTGCTGAACTAGGGACACATGTTTACATATCCATGGCAAGATAAAACTGCTTTCCTCTGTGCGCACCGTTGGCGGCCAGCTGCACCTCTTCCCCAGAACCAGCTCTCCAAGGACACTGCTCACTCTTCAGCTTGACTTCGATGGCATGCTGATTCTAACTCTCTGATGGGGAAACATGTATGACTGTATGGCTGTCGAGGGCGAAACTCTAACGATAAGGAATGCCACGTGCCGAATGACCACTGATTATCAATATTCTGATTGCTCAGTGGCTGCCAGTGATGTGGCAGTTAGGCTTGTGAAGTCGAATGCTAGCGCATGTGTGATTTTCACCAACTTTGGGGTGGAACTCCCGCGACTTGCTCTAAAGACCCAATCCGTCCCTCTATGAAGAACAGATCTGCGCGGTGGTGGCTACTAGGTGCCGCCGAGTCAGTTTTGAGTGAGCCCGACCGTGAGGCCAACAGAAGACACTGCCCAGTCCCGCGCCAGTCTCACAATGCTTATGCTCGAGCCCGCTGTTGCTGCCACCGTGCCGCTCTGTCTTGTTGAGGGCCTTCCTCTTTGTCGCCGCCCCTTTGTCTTACCAAGCTCGATGGGACTGGTCTCTTCTGATCCCACATCCAAAGGACACAGTCTCGCCACC